ACGGACGACGGACGACGGACGACGGACGACGACGGACGAAAACGGATAGCAATAGGTCACTTGAGCTAAAGCTCAGGTGACCTAAAAATGGAGTAGTACCCTTATTATTGCAACCTTTGACTGATCTCTTAAAGATCCTACCTGAGTCACAGTGAATTCAACTTCCTCTTGTGGTTTCACTTCTTTTTCTCCATTTAACAATTCGCTAAAGTGAAAGAACATACGGGAATCCCTCTCTGCACAGTGAATAAAGCCATACCCATCCTTCAGGCTTACAATCACACCCTGTGGAAGAGAGAGACAATATTCACCAAACTTGTAATCAAGATAACCAAAGTTCAAACTCTTGACGACTTTGATTTCACACATTACTTTTGCTTTCATGTGAAAAAATACAAATTTATGCAGAAATAGTTTTCAGTTTCTATATTGTAAATTTACAGCACTATTGCAGAGATTAGAAATGTTTAATGTCATATTGAATTCATAGATTTACATAACCATGAAAATTTCAATAATAGACTCAGACATCAATTCAGCCTTGTGTACATTACTTTGTACAAGATTTTTAACATTTCTCTACTTGGATTTCTGTTTTTAAAGTAATATATGACTGGAGATAGATCCTCTCATTACCCCTTCTCAACATCTTATCAAACTGACCGTTTCCCTTTGCTCTTTGTTCTGTTCAAATGTTTCCTTTTCCAGAAGACAGATGGATGTAGCACGATGAAGCTTGTCGCGTCGATCTGTGGCGACCTTAAATTCCACGACATCTCCCTGACACAAAGTGTAGTCTCCTATCTGATCTTTGTCTCCAAATGGCATCTCTGCTGTACTGGAAAGTCAACAGCATTCCTCACCAGTCAACTACATATCTTAGTCACTAACAAAGCATTGGGTGGAGGTAAACCTTTGAAATATCAATGGTTCTTTTTCATCTTTGTTGAGTTTTGATTTTTATTATTACTTGAATAAATAACGAGGACTGGAATACACATAAAAAAAATCACCTCAGTATGAATGTTGTAACATGTGTACATAATCAATACTTTGAAATAACAATGAAAAAAAATCATTAAAGTAAACTTAACATATATACACAGTTAGATAAATATTCACTCTTTGAAACTGTTCTGTATTCAAACTTGTAGTCTTAATAATATAAGATTGACTTTTTGTGCAATGATGGGATATTATAGTCAAACCTACCCTTTAGGACCCTCGAATGTGATCCGTCCTCCCAAGGGATCACTTTGTCTACGACCATTTTTCAGGGTTTTGATAACTCTTCCCACAATCTGATCTAAACCAATATCTTCAAATATTACTGTACCCTCTGGAAGACTTGCGATGTTCACAGCCACTTCTTTACCCTTCAAATAACAAGGGTTTTTTCAAATAAATTCTTGCAAACACATATAATAAAATTTAGTTAGACAATGTAACCACAGCAATCAGCTATTAAAATTAACATAATCTGTACCACACATAATGATCCTAGATAATCAGACAATTTGTAAAAAATAATTAGCTTACATTTCTAGTTTGTACATCAAATTCTACATCATCCCCAAGTATAAGCTCGTTGATGTCTCCTTTGAATTCACTGTAGTGGAAGAAGATTTCTTTGACCATATCATCCCGCTCTATGAAGCCAAATGAGTCCTTCATTGAGCACACTACACCCTGACATCTTGACTGGACTGTGGGGACTGATATCACCTCCAAATTCCTTGCTTGAATGTTTGCATTTCTACACGTGAAAAAAAAATATATAGCCAATTAAAATTGACATCAATATTCCAATGATATATTTTAATACTTATTCATTTACTTATATATATTTCACTAAAACAGTTTATATTAACAGATGTATGGTGTGTCGCTAGTTACAAATCAAATGTACTCATGGTTATCTGTTTGGCATTATTTCTAACCATTGTAGCCCTAGTTAATTTTGTTGGGTTTTTTTCTCCAAATTAAATCTAAATCAAATTGAGATTTAATATCCCACAACTACAATGAATCTTCACAATTACAAATGTCTCCAATTTGTATTTTACTTTTGAATACCATTATCTTCATTTTTAAACAGTGAATAATTTTCGAAGGTAATATAAGTTTTTCATCAAACATTCACCCGACATACATCATTTTAGAAATGAGGTACAAACCTTTTATCTGTAGCTATGTAAAAAGTGACAGTGTCTCCACTTTTGATCTTATAAGCATTTCCAGTTTCAACTACATCCTCAAGTCCGTATGGTAAAAAGAACCATTCGCCATTGTGTTCATACGTTACTCGTCCTAGACCATCTGCTTGTCCATTAACACAACCCTGTCAAACATATACAATGTTGCAATAATAACTAAAATTCTGACTGGTTGGGGTCACAAAAAATTGCCTCTCTGTCTCCATTTATCTATTCTTGGAAAAGACCTCACCTATAAGTGTGATATTAATGAAAACATTTAATATCTAAAAGATGTGTCTTTCTGATAATTTTTCAAGCTGTCAAAACATGATGAAGAAATTGTGAACTCAATGTGTTAATGTTTCTATATTAATTTATTTTTTATCTATTTATTCATACAGTAACATACTTTTATCTATTTATTCATACTTTTATCTATTTATTCATACCATTGGACAGCTTTATCTATTTATTCATACAGTAACATACAAGTCATTGCTTGGTCAGGTTTCTGATTAATAATTATATCTTTAGAAAATGCAGTATAGTATCCATCAACTAGATCATAATAAAACATGTAAAGACAACCTATAGGCTAGCATCATCACATCTCAGCAAACCAGAACAGGACCAAAAACCCTGATGGGCAGAAATTTTACTGAGCTGTTATTTGAAAAGTGAGCCTTCATTTGAAATGTAATCTTAACATAATCAAATTGTTCAATCTGTATATAAAACAACATCAAAACACTTCATCTATCAACAAGGCAAAGTACTGTAAAAATGACATGCTGACAGTCTGTCTCACAGCAAACCTGTAATCCCCTTCAACAATATTAGCGAGAGACTTTATCAAAAAATACGGAAATTGTTAACTTTGTTCAACCATCAAATTATTAAATTTGTATGAAATTAATGATGGCAATTTATATCTTTATATTATTTCTGAAGTACATCTATTAAGTGTACCCATTTCCAAATTACCACATTAACACACTGATGTGGTGTTTGAAAGAGCAATTGTATTTTACTCTATCATAAATGATGTAACACTTGATTCCTGTTAGATTTTCATTTAGTTGGTTTTGGTAATAATGGTCCAAATAAATGGATGTACAGTGGTCACCACTGAACAAGTGTTACCAACAGAATCACATTATCCAAACTGCCTTTTGAGAAAAACAATATTTTCAGGTAGTGGCTACAGGTTTTAAACCATTAACGAACGTATTGTTTAATATCAAGTGATTACAATCTTAATGACTTATAAACAAATTTGAGAAATTTTCAAGTTATTACAAACTCTTGGAGAAATATGAGATCTAAATATTTCAAGAGGTTAGATATGTGGGTATTATATTTATACAGCTGACATACATTTTTGTTCTTAGTTGGTCTTGCTTCTTGCACAACAGATCCTGTAAACCTTTCCTCGCTCAGCACCTCAAATGATACCTCGTCCTTATCTATTCTACCTATAGAGCATGCAATGGGGCGGCCTGTTCTGCGGTCACAGCTCATCTGGAATTCTACAGCATCTGGAAAGAAAGACAATAATTACAAAACTGAAATCATGACACATTAAGTTGAATAATGATAACACAGTCTGGTTATATTAATGTGACTGATTATCTAGAAATTTTGCCTTCAAATGTCATTACATATAGAATTTAGGTACTTAGATACTTTCTGGTGACAAGTATTAATCTGTGAAACTTGTGATCTGTGACATTTGTATGCAAACTGTCTGGAAAATGACATTATTTCACAATATCTTACTATGTTGATAACAGCCAACACAATTATATTACATTTCAAAATATCATCATATCTTCAGCCAAGACATCATTCAATACCATCTGACTCATTTTAGCAGAGCTATACCATTATTAAATATTGAAGCTATCCCCATGAACTTTAAATAATAAACATTGAAGCTATTCCCATGAACTTTTAATAGTGAAGCTATTTCAATCATGATGTGCCAACAACATGAAGCCTTACCTCCAATTTTCACTGTGTTAATGTCACCAGCATATTCGCTGAAGTGAAAAAACAGTCTCGCCTCTCTGTCACAACACTGAATGAATCCGTAGGAGTGTAACAATTTCTCTATCAATCCCGTTTCTCGAATGTTGCTTGTACTCGTAGGTGAAGTAGGTGATAGTATAGGACTTACAATGTTTGAACCTTGCTGATAGGATAGAATGGCAGGATCCTGTGCAGGCGGCTGGAAATTCTAAAACAGATACAAAAAGAAAATACTGCTAAGAACTGAAGAACGTGTATCATACCCTATTATTAGGGCAAGCTTAATCAACAAATTTAGTGTTTCTTAACCTTTAATTTACAGCAGCCTGTGCCTGTAATATATGGAATAGGTCTTTTCTTCATTTTAGGAAAATCAGCAAGTTGTTTTGCTAGAGCAAACTGTATCTAAATTGTTGCTATGAGGGATTTCTTTTTCAGTCCTTTTGATAAATTAACAAATTTAACATTTAATCAAGCATTCACTAAAATGTTTTATTAAACTTTAGCAGTTGTCATCACATCCTAGTATCCTTATTGAGATATCAAGATGTGTTTGATATAATTATACATTTCCTTCCAAATATAATTATTACCTTCCACTGAGGACTGTTCATTTTTCTTACAGCTGACATTTTCGTTGATAGTTCTAAGTTCCGATGTTGACTTGTTACTTATGTGATGTTGATTTCTTGTCAGTGTCCCCAGATGGGCAGTCTGTGCAAAGTGTTCTTGGTCGGGCACAAGGGTTGATCCCTTTAATAGTTTGTAGTGAGTTCCTGGGTCTTTGATCAGTTCAAAAACAATTGAACTTTTTAAATGATGCTGAAAAGAAGGAAATATGAAGGTTTCGATTAAAATGTATACCAATACACGTAAAAAAAATGTGTTTATAAAACTATTTTGAAAAGTGCAAATTTCCAGACATAGACTGATAGATGTGTAGATTGCGAATCCTATATATGAGTACTTAATTACCATGGTGGTAGTAATGAATTTCTGCTAATTAATTTATGAAATGGTATGACTGCTGTTTATTTTATGTTGATGCATCTAAATGTACAAGTCGGACAATATTCCAAAACATTCTGATGCCTCACAATTTACATACATTTGTATACCATCCTAGAGCTTTTTAACTTATTTTTTCAATGAACTTATATCATCCGTGTTTACCTGTTTCAAAGACAATGGCCTCTTAACAAGACCTTTTATTTACAGTACTAATTATTTTTAATAATTCATCTCGAGACATTATATCACTTCACCATAATCACAAGCTTTTAAATTCTGATTAGTCACCTCTTTAAAATGCATGGATTTGTCACCAGAGTCTGTCAAATTATGGACATATGGTACATGTCATGTGATAACACATACATAGAGATGAAAGAACATCTTTTATTAATTAGATGGTCAAGAAAATTCCAAAACTATTGAGTAATACAAAGGCTCTCGATGTGTTTTAAGTGTAGTCATCTATTTCTTTTTTAAAATAGCATTAAAATACTGTAACATGACAGGAAAATGCATGGCCAGACGGAGATTCAAACTCAGGACCTCTGAAGTCTAATTGGATGATGAAACCAATTGAGCGATATGTCATCAGCAATCAACCATGTCAAGTTCCAAGTCTTTGCCTCAAAAGACAAAACTATGTTGTATGTACAACCTAATTTTGTGTTTGTACATCTGGTACTTAATTGAAACAAGGGATGGCCACAGTCACCATCGCAACAACATACAGTGCCGTGCCAAAAGTGAAGATAATTTTAACAACGTCATTTAACAGTCGTCTGTTGAAAACAGATGCCGCCCAAACAGAGAGAACCGTCTCCATCACTGAAAAGTGTCATGAAATCTTTGCACGAATCGAGAAGAAAGCCAAATCAAATATCTGAACAAACAGGACACCCTGGTGTTTTACAACATATTAGTGAACAACGATCGATTGAAAACTGATCACTGCACAGGATTCTTGTCAACTTTGTGGTATTGTTAAATCAAACAGAAAGAGATCTCTGGGTGAAATTACTAATATTTTTAATGAGTTTAGACCCAAAATCATTTCTAAACATACTGTACAAAGAAAATTAGATGAACGCAATTTTTACAGGCGCGTTGTATCAGAATTTGCGAAGCTAATTTTAAAAAACGGCATGCTTGGTGTAAACTTAATAGATATCAAACTGTTGATTACTGGAAAACATGATATGTGTAAGGTTGAATTGGGTACGGACAACAGTGTTTTGGTATGGCGACAGCCCGGTGAAGAACAGACCCCCTGGTGACTGAACCCAGGATGTGGACACGTGGGTACAGCTTTCTTTGATGATTTAGGGTTGTATAACCTACAATGGGGTAGGAACTTTAACTGTTGTAGATGGTAACATAAATGGTAAAAAACACAGACATTGTTGACAACTTTGTGTGGCTTGTTATAGCACGCCAATCCCCAAATAACGACTATGTGTTTCAAGATGACAATGCTCCGGTACATCATGCTCGTGTGGTGAAAAATAATATGGAGGAAAAAGAGACTCGATGTGATGGAATGGCCAGCCCAGAGACCAGACTTTAATATAATTGAAAATGTTTGGAGAAAAATTAAGCTTGAACTTCAGAAACAAACCAACATCACCTCTCGGTAATTTTGGAGGATGCAATTCGCACAATATGGACAGAAATATCCCTTGAATTCATCCAAAAATTTTACAAATCAATCCCAAAGCGCATGAAAGCAGTAATCAAATCCAAGGGATGTATCACAAAGTATTAGGTAAGTTTAAGTCATGATAATTACTTAGCAAATGACTTTTAATTTCTGAGGTGTCAAGCTGACAAAAATGGCATCTTAGATTTATCTTCACTTTTGGTACAGCACTGTAGCTTAAAAAATGAACAAGTTTAACCAAGGTTCAGAATTCTAGGCCGAAATATTGAAAACCGACTGTATTATGGCAATGTGTCAAAACCTTTGTCTGAATTAAATAATGATATTTAAACAAATCTTAAACTGTACCCTAGCAAAAAAACAAGATGAAACAACACAGTTATTTAATGCACACGAGTTTGTTAATATAATGACTTTATAACTAAATAGACTGATTTCGTCATGGCAAAAATAGATTCTAGAAGAAAGACGCAAAACATCTTATAAACTGCTGAGATGACAATATTGAAGATTTCCATGTTTGAATTTCGAATTCTAAAAGTATTAAAGTGTGTCAGAAAACGTATTTCTGGTTAAATAAATACTTTGTTGTGTTTCCTTCACATTAAAATATCTCATGAACACACTAAAAAGTGTTCCCCGGCGATTTTTTTTACCCCTTATTTGCACAGCACTGCCACAAAGCCGCCATCTTACTCCATTACCACCCAAAGTGCTTTTAGTCTGCAAGTGCCATAAAACAATCAAAGTATAATATTTTATAGAATATGTTGTTAATAATAGGAAAACAATGAGAGGCAACTCAGTTTAAGTAATAGAAAATAAGAAAAAGAAGTTATTTACACCATCATGACTTTCTTTTTATTTGTTAGAGATTAAGCGCACGATTTCATGACGTCATACACATCAACAACTCTTTTCAGTTCCTGACTCACAGTCACGAAAACATTCAGTCAAGTTGAACACTGTATTAGTTATATTTTGACATTTGGTGAGTATACAATGGAAACATAATGGTAAAACAAAGCCTGTTGTGTTTGAATGGGCTAATGATTATGTATGTCATATTTCAGGCGTGATCAGGATCAAGGTGATCGTTTTGTGATTCTGTACAGTACAGTACTCTGTGTAAACAAGATTCATACCGAATGAGGTTTGGTAGATACATGAGAAAAAGAATAGACTTAATGGATAAATGGCTTAGTTTCTTTCATAAATTAAGGTTAACAATAATTTGACAGTGATGGTTTTGGTTCCCCATGTAGCAGAGAGGTTGTTATTCCTGTAGGGTTACCAAGCTTAGGAGAAAATCTCCATAGCTTGAAAGTGGAAAGAAGCAGCTAACAAGTGACATATTTCCCAAGGTGACAGCGTTGCTTTTGTAAGCAAGGCTGTGTGTTTATAACTATTTTTGCAGTGGTGTCCATGCCACACCCTTTTTACTTATTTTACAATATATGTATACGAAACAAGGTTTTGTGTGATAACTTGAGTTCCCTTGGGTTGATTGAATTCAAACTTGGTACACATATTGCATACCAAGGTACACATATTGCATACAAATATAGCTCGGACAAGTTTGTATTCCAGAGGTTTGCGTGTATTTTTGGTGGAGTTATGCACCTTTTATTGCCAAATTAGGGCATTGTTTAGTAAATGCAAGAACTTTTTTTATTTTTTAATTAATTCCTATCAAATTTTCTATGGTAATGCAAGAAGCAATACTGTTCAACATATGTTACAGGTTTTTCTGTCGAGTTTCAACTTTTCTTACTAAAAGCGCTGAGCAGGTGACACATCCATTCCCGTGGAATTCTTGTCTTATAATCAATGGGCAAAGTCTTTATGGCTAGATTATAATGATTCAATCCTGCCATTTCTAATCACTTAAATTGCTATTTTGTGAATTTTGCCGAATAGATCGGAAGGAACAACTACACTTGTAAAGATGCCTTTAGAGTGGTTATTTGGTCGAAAAAAGACCCCAGAGGAGATGCTGCGACAGAACCAGCGGGCATTAAACAAAGCCATGAGGGATCTGGATAGAGAAAGAGCAAAGATGGAACAGCAAGAAAAGAAAGTCATTGCGGATATCAAAAAGATGGCCAAAGCAGGACAGATGGTAAATATGATCCCCAAATTCACAGCCCATCTTTGGCGGGGTGAGCTAAAATGGATTTATACCAAAAATACAAACCATGACTGTGAAGCAAATTCCACATTCATAATAGTAGAAATATTTATTTTATAGATCATATTATATATTGTCAGGCCTGTAATTTTTCAGATCTTAAGTGGTATGAATACCCCGGTATTACAGAGCTTGAATTATTCACTTCAATACCTCAATCCTCATCTTCCAGCCATTTTACCTACTATGATCTCAGTATCTACCTAATGCAACATCACATTCAAAATGAATTGATTGCCAAGGCTTGTGATTGGCTGACACATTTACTTAATATCTGATTCCATTTTATCAATTTTATAAGAAAATAACTGAAATGTTTGAGTCTCATAAATCCACTTGCTGATTTGAATAGTTAAAAATATATATGTATTCCATCTTTAGAGTGATACTCTTTTGATTAAAAATGTTTTCTCTCCTGTAGGTAATGTTGATAATGTTACCTTTGTGAAATTCTGTCTTGTATTTGGACTAACTTTGTTAGACCAAACAAGTCTCTGTTACAATATATTTGTTATGTTTACTTTTTGACAGGATGCTGTAAAGATCATGGCGAAGGATCTGGTCAGGACAAGACGCTATGTGAAGAAATTTATTTTGATGAAAGCGAATATTCAGGCTGTAGCACTGAAGATCCAGACATTAAAGTCTAACAATGCCATGGCCCAGGCGATGAAGGGTGTCACTAAGGCAATGGCCACAATGAACAAACAGGTACAGTATAATCCTCATCAGTATGTGGAGGAAAGACCCAACAAGTAGTAAGCTAGCTTCAAAGGTTTCAAACATATCCTCACAAATTATTTGTATTGTGTCATTACTGTCTTTTTCATATACAATATGGGGAAGTCACTAAGTAGGTGGACATAACATTTGCAGGTAATTATTATCAAAATATATTTGTGCATACAAATCTGCATCCTCTCTGGCTGTTAATGAAAAGAAAAAAATAGGAAGGTCTTTTCTCAAAGTTTATTACTGCAAGATAAAGGTAGTTGCATCATTTCTCAAAAATATTGAAATAAATTAACACGCCAAATGAAATTCAAACAATTCACTAAACAAGCCGTGCCTTAAGAATCAATACACTTTTTAGAGTTGTTATTGGAGAAATGCTTCCTTTTTTCTTCCTAGATGAATTTACCTCAGATTCAGAAAATTATGATGGAGTTTGAGAAGCAGTCAGAAATGATGGACATGAAAGAAGATATGATGAATGATGCAATTGACGATGCTATGGGTGATGAAGATGATGAAGAGGAGACGTAAGTATAGTTTCATATGGGGAAGAAGAACTTCTGCAATCTTGTCCTTACAGGAAAACAAATTACATAATTCGTTTAAGAAATGATAAGCAATAAATATGGTAGGGGATGATTATTTTACTCTCATCTTATTATTTCTGTAACAACTGAACCGACAGAAGTCATATTTGTGAACAAAAGCATATTTGGCATTTGAAGTTCATTCATTCACCTTTTTATTATGTCTTGATAACCATTCAGTTTTGTGATATCACAATTTTGCTATTCTGCACAAGGCTATCTTCCCCTAGGGGGTGACAGACTGATATCTCTCGGCTAAAACGGTAGACAATTCTGTAAAGGGTTGGAGAAAATGTTTGTCAATTTTAAGCTGCAACATTTCCAGAGGTAAAATGCCTGAGAGACCTATAACAGTGAATGCAGTCCTTGAGAGTTTATTGCTGAGGTTTGCCATAAAACAACATCAGAACACTTAGTCTGTTCCTATATTATAAACAAATGAATTGGGTTCAACTGGTCAGATGTTTTGGGGAAAAATGAATGAAAGTACCCCATGTTTATGTAAATTTCTATTTGCTAATGATATTGTTATGATGTTGATCATTTGATTGTTTTACTATCTATTTACAGAGATGCTGTGGTATCACAGGTGTTGGATGAGTTAGGACTACAACTCACAGACCAGCTTTCAGGTAAAACTATTGGACATAATTTCATAAGTATTAATGGATGGTGTAATATAATTAGACGATGGCTCTAACTTACACCCGTAAAGAATAGTGTTTGGTTTTAAAATGAGTGAGATAAAACAGGAAATTGAATTTGAATTCCTGGAAGAGTCAATTATGTTTTGCTTATTAAAGATCATGAAAGATTTTTCTGATTGCATGTAAATATGAATAAAGTGCAAAACACGAAATTTAATTGTTCTTAGACTTTCATTTGGAATGAAATTTCATGTAGAAGATCATTTATATAATTTTGTTGTAGTAACTTATTGCAGTGTAATTAAATTTGTATATATGCGTTATATAAGCTAGATGGAAAATACAGTTAAAAAGAATCCCATATATCACATCAGTGCAAATTCATCTTTATTATCATTAAATTTGTGTCAATGACTAACCATGTAATAAACATGTCATGACATACTGTACCATTTATTTCTATAAACAAATTTTGACTTCATTTATGGTTTGTCCTTACAGATTTGCCATCAACTGGCAAGTCCATAGGTGTATCAGCTCAGAGCAATAAGCAGCCAGTGGCTGCAGCAGGAGTGAGCGATGCTGACGCAGATCTAGAGGCCAGACTAGAAAACTTACGGAGGCAGTAACAGAATTGATAAGTGAGGGGGGTACAAGACACTTCAGCACAGGCTGTGCCAGGAAATATGGTTGATTGTGTGCAAGTTCATGTAAGAAGAATGGAACGGACAAAGTCATGTTTTGTCGTAAATAGGTACATGTTAGAGAATCTGTGTGATCAATATAGCTGAAAATTGAACTGGAACAATTCTGAGAACAGTGCTTTTAAATAAACAAAAAAATCTTTGATGTCATCTTGTCAAGGAACTTTCTTGGAAGGTAGCATCCTAATGATCCTGAGGAGCCGTGTACTTTGGAATGCTGACCGTGATGTACAAACTTCATTGTTGAAGCTCATATCCTTCTGTAACAATGTGACTCACTGGCTAGTAAGATTCATAGTATACATCATACTTATGTGATCTGGACGAATAGAGTGTGTCATATGTAGGTATGGAGGATGTTGAAATCCTACACCTCCACATCCCCTATACCTACATAATGATTTACTTTATACCTCCCACCTTTTAACCAAGATTTTGGTCAAAAGTTACTTTTACCTTGAGCATGTTACAATAAATCAAATAGATTTACTAAATAACATACATATTTGATGAAGAACATTTGAAAAGATCAGGGAAAGGGGTGGTGTAACAGAGGTATACTTCAAATTTAAAGAAGAATGCAAAAGCATCACAGAAAATTTGTTTAATTCAGTGAGGCAATGTCAGTTTCCAAATATGTTTTTGCCGTAGATATTCATTCAGTAAACAAAATGACAACTGAATGACATTGCATTGTTATGACATGTCCCAGAATCACAGCCAATGTGGTACAGAACATTGTGATGACATGTCCCAGAATCACAGCCAATGTGGTACAGCACTGTTTTGTGTCTTTCATGCATAAGGATGGGAGAAAAAGAAATCACAATCTAAGGGGCAAGATTTTCTAACTAGTACTTCTAACAAATGATTTTATCCCAAAGACTGATTTTTTTGTCTCAGTCTCACAGGGTAATCAGTGAGTTATCTCCCCTAATAATGTTGTAATTTGACACATATGCCATTTCACTGTATCATATTTCTCTAATAAGTATAAAGATATTTCTGTGGGGTTTGGAAGAGGTTGAGAGTTCTGTGTTATATCTAATACACCACTGGATATTTCTGACAGGGTGGGGACACATTGAGAGTTCTGTGTTATATCTTATAAAGCCGTGGATATTTCTGACAAGTCGGGGGGGGTGGGGGGGACATTGAGACTTCTGTGCTATACATGCAATGTAATTTATATGCTATTAATAATTTTATTCAGTAAAATTTATTGTTTTAATTGTAATGATTAGTAAATAATGTAAACATGTATGTGTACATAATGTATGTCAAAGCGACTACTGCATACCATATTTTACAAAGGTTAATAAAGAATTAATTAGGATCAAAATTTTATCATTGTATTATGTATATTTATGATTATAGAAGTTTGATATTAGGTTGAACCTGTGAAGTTTGTCGGAATTTTCATTTGCAATAGTTAGGAATATATGTTTGAAAGGAACGTTTGATCACAATGAAGATGGCCTCAATTTTTTTCAAAAGTTCTATTTTAAAGAATTACTTACCATGTAAAATTATCGTCCTTGAATCTATTGGTGGATCACTAACCATATTTTTGCCACTAGAAGATTTAAAAAAAAAAAATGAGTGATGGATAACACAGTCCATGTCTTCAACTATGAAATTTGTGAATAGTTTTGTTTCAACATTTAATTTTAGAATCATTAGAAAACTTGAAACCATAACCAAATAACTAGAATCTAGTATAGTTCAACAGAGTAATATTACAACACATCTTGTACATATTCATTTTTGTACCGTTCGTAAGACAAGTAATCGAGCGTTAATCAATTCAGAATTACAATAACTGTATTACGAGAAATTTAGTACCGTAGCTTAAATAAACATTTTTTATTGCAATTGTAGAGTACTATTTATTTAGTCAACCTGCTTGCTTAATCTTCACTATAACATACAATTTCTTTTCATTTGTTCTCCCTTATATGGTATATTCATGATAGTTCCAAATAGCCATATTTTTGTAATTCCACATACACTTCCATAAATCACATAAGGTGGAAAAACATGTTATTTTACTTGACAATAAAAGAGGAAACAGAGACCATTTATGCTACAGTCAGATCTACCTGGTGTCCACCATCAGACTTGTAAAGTAACCTTAGGGAACTGACAAAAGTGATCAGCAGAAAGTCTTGATACAAAGGAACTTTAAACAAATAAAATAAGTCCTTCAATACAAAGGTGGCCTCTATAACATGGCTGGCTACAAAAAAAAAAGTTACATCATGACACCAGGGTAAGTTTTAGTACAGAACTGATATCATCAGGGAGATAGCCCTTTGCTGTACAAACTGACTGGTATTTAGCTTGCTGTTAGATATGATGTTGAACTTGAAGAATTCACTGGATGACTACAAATAAATTTATGAAAACCAGTAAAATTTTGGGGTAAAAATGTCAATATTAAAGGTCACATTACCTGAGCTATTTTTGGTAACACCCCACGTATCAAATGTCAAATGATTTATCTGCTTGTCAGAGTCCTAATTTCTAAATGACTCGTTAGTTTTTATGGAATTTCATGCGTAATCAATGTATCATGATCGGGAACATGTATTGCTTTGCAATATTTCCGTAACCATAAGCGTGTTTGTAGATAGTTCAGATGCTATTTTAGTTGTGATGTATATACCATGAAAACAAGTTGTGTAAATATTTTGAAAAACTGCTGTTGTACTAAATGTTAAATCAATGGCATTATAATTTGAAATATGCATTAATGTTTGAAAACAAAATTGGTTTGGGTAGGGTCAGGTCAGGTCAGGTCAGGGGCAGGGTCCAGTATGTGAAATTGGGTCATAAATTTGAATCAGTTGGAATCCCTTTACTATAGAAACACATACATCCATGCTACTTTGATTGGCTCATGGTCCTTTTCACCAAAGGGAAAGAACTCCTTACATCATAACATGGAGATAGATGTGATTCTCATCCTATAACCATATATACAATTGCTAAGCATGAAGAGATGAATGCAACTGTTATCGCTTCAGGGATCCTAACAGGCCCTTAGGACTAAGACCTTGGGTCATATGGAAATAATCCAGATCCTCGCCTCATATTATATACATGCATACAATTACAAGGCATGTAGAGACGAATGCTCTCATAATACAACTGTTACCTGAGGGGTCCTTCTGGCCTCTTTTGACCTAGTCTGTGGGTCATAGCTTTTAAAAAGTCAAGATCCCCTCTCAATAACCACATAAACATTTGTGAGGCATGAAGAGACAAATGCACTCATGCCAATGCTATTGTACCAGGGTTCCAGCCATCCCTAGGATCCAGGGTCATTAAATGGAAATGGTTGAGGTCCCACCTTTTAACCATACCTAACCGCTTGGCATGAAGAGAAAAATGCTTTTATGCAACCATGATTGTTCAAGGGGCACTTTTCAGCCCCTGGGGACAAAACCTTAGGTCATAACTTTGAAACTGTTGAGATCCACACATATATGTTACTGTAGGGCATGGAGAGATGTACCAGTAATGTGTATCAGATTTAGCCCAGGGGCCTAAAACCCTATCACTTGAGGCCTTTTTCCAAAGTCAGAACATTGAAACTAACTGTTGAGTTCCCCTATCAATAACTATATAGACAAATATAAAGATTTTGACCGAATTTTCTATTAAGCTTTTTGGTCTTTTGATATATTTCAACCAATTAGTGCATGGGATTCTTGGATTTGGGGAATCAAAGGCAGGGGTGTTGCTCCCCTGGACACTGAAATGCAGTGCTCAAAAGGAAACTGTTTGCAATATCATCTTAAATGAGAACATTTTTTTATGATTGCCTAAATATCCAAGAGAGCGATACAGGCCCTCTCTGCCTGTTGTTAATGTTTTTGTTCTATTTGCTTTTGTTGCAACAGTCTAGGTTTGTTTAAGTACAAAATATCAAAGTTTATCATTATAAGAAAAAAGAACAACTACTGGAGAACAAACAATGAAACCACATTTTTCTTTGTTTGTTTTTAGTTACAGAAGGCTGATATTGATAATCATTCATGCTGACATAAAAAAATTAAAGATTATTAATGCATGCTTTATTACTGTAGTAGGTTTTCCTACCATAACTATAATCTTTCCAATCTGTCAACTTACTTGTATCAAAGTTTTACTTAATGCACGAATAATATATGTACATTTCGAGACCAACTGATCCCTTTGTCAAAGCTTGATAAATGGAACAGTCCGTTTTGAAAAAATGCAACATGATTGTCACATATTGTTTTAAGTAAAATTTTAATACATACATATTTCCAAACGGATGAATCTGATTGAAGCTGTTATTTATTAAGAAGGAGCATATTTACTTGTACATGTATATATGTGTTTATGAAGAGAAAGAAGAGTTTCGTTGTAACAGTTACATCTGTTACAACACACACAAACACATAGCATTACGATAGCATCACTAGTGTACTACGTGTATTGGTGATGTATACATATATTATTATCATTATTACAGCTGGTTTGTTAATTTGTATGGTTTAATTGTTCCATACACAATTGTTTGAGAATATGGTGAATTATCAGTCTTCAGGTACAGTACCTGGTATAATTTTACTAGGTTTAATGCATAAAAAAAATCAGGTTTTGAAAAATATCCAATGTTTTTCATTTCATTTAGAAAAAAAATACTACAAATCTTATAGCGATTAAGTGTCATTTCAGTTTGATATGACAAGATTTTATAATTTGTAAAAGGGTTTATTTCAGATTTTAGCTGGTTATTTATCCAATTCCCTTATAAGGATTTTAGTCAAATTTTCTATGTGAGTATTATGAAAGAATTACAGCTTGAGTGATATAATAATTTAATTTCTATACATAAATTGACAGATGCCTAATTAAGTGATCTTGACAGAAACCTCATTAAAATTTTCTGAATTTATCAATTTATCTCAGTTTTGTTTTTCACAAGTCTTAAATAGCATCGACAGAGGTGATTACTTTTTATCAAGTAAACACATTAAAGTTAGTGGACGATCCCTTATTACCAAGAGAACAGCTTCTAAAGTCGGTAGATAATCATTACTTATCCATTGGACAGCTTCTAAAGACAGAAGATGATCATGACTTATCCATTGGACAGCTTCTAAAGTCAGTAGATCATTACTTATCCATTGGACAGCTTCTAAAGTCAGTAATTGATCATTACTTATCCATTGGACAGCTTCTAAAGACAGCAGATGATCATTACTTATCAATTGGACAGCTTCTAAAGGCAGAATATGATCATTACTTATCCATTGGACAGCTTCTAAAGTCAGTAGATCATTACTTATCCATTGGACAGATGCTAAAGTCAGAAGATGATCATTACTTATCCATTGGACAGATTCTTAAGTCAGTAGTCGATCATTACTTATCCATTGGACAGCTTCTAAAGTCAGTAAATGATCATTACTTATCCATTGGACAGATTCTAAAGTCAGTAGGTGATCATTACTTATCCATTAGACTGATTCTAACGTCAGTAGATGATCATTACTTATCCATTGGACAGATTCTTAAGTCAGCAGATGATCATTACTTATCCATTGGACAGATTCTAAAGTCATTAGGTGATCATTACTTATCCATTAGACTGATTCTAACGTCAGTAGATGATCATTACTTATCCATTGGACAGCTTCTTAAGTCAGTAGATGTTTATTACTTATCCATTGAACAGCTTCTAAAGTCAGTAGATGATCATTACTTATCAATTGGACAGCTTCTTAAGTCAGTAGATGTTCATTACTTATCCATTGAACAGCTTCTAAAGTCAGTAGATGATCATTACTTATCCATTGGACAGATTCTAAAGTCAGTAGATGATCATTACTTATCCATTGGACAGCTTCTTAAGTCAGTAGATGTTCATTACTTATCCATTGAACAGCTTCTAAAGTCAGTAGATCATTACTTATCCATTGGACAGCTTCTAAAGTCAGTAGATGATCATTACTTATCAATTGGAAATCTTCTTAAGTCAGTAGATGATCATTACTTATCCATTGGACAGATTCTAAAGTCAGTCGATGATCATTACTTATCCATTGGACAGCTTCTAAAGTCAGTAGATCATTACTTATCCATTGGATATATGCTAAAGTCAGTAGATGATCATTACTTATCCATTGGACAGATTCTTAAGTCAGTAGATGATCATTACTTATCCATTGGACAGATTCTAACGTCAGTAAATGATCATTACTTATCCATTGGACAGCTTCTAAAGTCAGTAGTCGATCATTACTTATCCATTGGACAGCTTCTTAAGTCAGTAGATGATCATTACTTATCCATTGGACAGCTTCTTAAGTCAGTAGATGATCATTACTTATCCATTGGACAGATTCTAACGTCAGTAGATGATCATTACTTATCCATTGGACAGATTCTAAAGTCAGTAGTCGATCATTACTTATCCATTGGACAGCTTCTAAAGTCAGTAAATGATCATTACTTATCCATTGGACAAATTCTAAAGTCAGTAGGTGATCATTACTTATCCATTAGACTGATTCTAACGTCAGTTGATGATCATTACTTATCCATTGGACGGATTCTTAAGTCAGTAGTCGATCATTAATTATCAATTGGACAGCTTCTTAAATTCAGTAGATGATCATTACTTATTCATTGGACAGCTTCTAAAGTCAGAAGATGATCAATACTTATCAATTGGATATATTCTAAAGTCAGTAGATGATCATTACTTATCCATTGGACAGTTTCTAAAGTCAGTAGATCATTACTTATCCATTGAACAGCTTCTAAAGTCAGTAGATGATCATTACTTATCCATTGGACAGATTCTTAAGTCAGTAGATGATCATTACTTATCAATTGGACAGCTTCTTAAGTCAGTAGATGTTCATTACTTATCCATTGAACAGTTTCTAAAGTCAGTAGATCATTACTTATCCATTGGACAGCTTCTAAAGTCAGTAGATCATTGCTTATCCATTGGACAGCTTCTAAAGTCAGTATATGATCATTACTTATCCATTGGACAGATTCTTAAGTCAGTAGATGATCATTACTTATCAATTTGACAGCTTCTTAAGTCAGTAGATGTTCATTACTTATCCATTGAACAGTTTCTAAAGTCAGTAGATCATTACTTATCCATTGGACAGCTTCTAAAGTCAGTATATGATCATTACTTATCCATTGGACAGATTCTTAAGTCAGTAGATGATCATTACTTATCCATTGGACAGATTCTAAAGTCAGTAGTCGATCATTACTTATCCATTGGACAGATTCTAAAGTCAGTAGATGATCTTTACTTATCCATTGGACAGCTTCTAAAGTCAGTAGATGATCATTACTTATCCATTGGACAGATTCTAAAGTCAGTAGATGATCATTACTTATCCATTGTATAGATTCTAACGTCAGTAGATGATCTTTACTTATCCATTGGACAGCTTCTAAAGTCAGTAGATGATCTCTAACAAATCCAGTTAACAGCTTCAGAATTCAGTAGATGAACTTCTTAAATCAGTGGATGATTTCTAACAAATCCAGTTAACAGCTTCCGAAGTCGGTTGATGATTCCTTGTCCATGATTCAGTCACATACAATGTCATTCATTATCCTATTATTTAAGGTAAGGTAATCTTGTCAAGACAACAGTTCTTTTTTACTTATAAAAAACAATCCATGATAAAAAAATATCAGCTGAGATTGTGTGTTGATAAACATTTGTCATTAACTTCACTCATTGGTTTTTTTTACACGATTGCAGTAGTTGTAAAATGCCGATGCTCAGCCCGCAAGGTTTGTGAGGCTCATTTTTCTGTGAGTCTCATTTTGTATATATCCTTATATGTTTCTGTGAGGTATATTGTTGTGAGACATCTTTCTGTGAAGTACATTTGTTGTGAGGTTTGTATATAACAATAAGTACATTTCAAGGTCACATTTAGGTCATATTGAGGTCACAGTACATGTTCTATAAAAAGTGATGGTTTACCTGAGGTTTCAGTTGTACCGCAATACTCAGAAACAGATCGACATCGGCAACTGTGTAAACATCGTCATGTGATCATAATAAAGCGGCGATTAATCCATTGTTACTCGTTAAAGTTGGTTTTAATACCATCACATGAATGTCTTTTGTTTGATCCTTCATGTTTTTAATTTTAATTTTTTAGTTTTGATGAGTTGATAAGCAATATATTGTCTGGCATAGTTATTGTCCAAACATTTACATCCATTGGAAGAACCATCGTTAAATAATCCCCTTCCATGACCTCATCAATTTCACTATAATCGCCATGAAATACAACATTTATACAGAATTTAAGAATAGAACATTCTGGCTTCTGCCGCCATTGGGGGCGATCTATATGGTGTCCTACAAAAAGGACAAAGACGACCATTAATCCTATCGTAACAAGATTGACATATTGCTCGGTCATCGGGACAACAGTGGCACTTGATAAACCAAAACCTTTATAATCCTAATCCGACAACACCTACAAAGACTCTCGCCAGTTTTCAGTTTTACACTGATCTATTGCTACAATGAGTCCTCCCCAAGGCAACAGATTGAGACTTATCAATTGTGTAATTTATGCGTTACATATGTAGGACGACAATCTTACAAACTAGTATTTAATTAGAAACAGAAGTGTCCTGAACAAATGCTAAAGCAAAGTTTCTTTTATGATTACAGCCCATTTTCTTTTTGTAAATGAATCGTTACTGGTATACTGTCTGTCTACGTCTAAATCGGATTAGTGTCATTAAACCCGTCAACGGACACATTTTATATGACGTGTAAGGTTCCCACCTTCATTTTCGGTGTTGGTTTTAAATGGAAAACACAGTAGAAACCAGTTCTATACAGAACCAAAGAGACACAAACTATGAGTGTAAAGGTGACTCTATGTCAGAAACCTATAAATTTAGAAGAGGACAATTCTAACACAAGTGAATTCAAGGAATGCTTTGCCGTAGAGCAATCGTATAAGTATTGAGGTAAGTGGATTTTAAAGTCATAAAATCATTATCAAATATAAACTAAAACTACCAAACTATCTAAACTAAGAAAAGTAAAACAAATATCTATAATATGAAAGTTATCAATTTAGGGAATGTGTACAGTCAAAGGGAGATAACCTTTTTGAAATAAAAGCTTAAACAAACATCAAACATCACTTACGCATCAGTTATCATAAACTATCTTGAGTATTATCAAAAACAAACTGAATAACTATCATTGGTATATGCAATCATGCAAAATTAAACATTTTCAAAATATGTACATCAAATCTAATCATCAAGCCATTTAAAAAAAAAAAAAAAATTCAAAAAAACTACATACCGAATAATGGTCTACAAAATACTTTTAGTCTTTTAAAATTCTGTTTAACAATGGAATTATCATAAATTTAGAAAGCCACCAATAAAACATAAAATTTAGGGAATGTGTACAGTCAAAGGGAGATAACATTTTTGATTTACGAAGCAAGTATTGAGGTAGATTTTAAAATACAAGAAATGGATTTCTTTTGTCAAAACCTGAACAAAAAACATAACTTGAGCACCAGCTAGAGTATTATCAAAAACTAACTATATAACTTTCATTGGCACATGTATCATTTAAAAATAAACAATATCATTTCATTTTTTTTTCAAAACTTAAGCATCAATTTTAATGAGTACATTAATAGAGGATATTCAAACAAAATTAACTACATAACAATGCATGGCCTACAAAATACTTTTAAAACACTGTTTGAAAGTTTACAGTCAACTGGCACATTGCGGAGTCTTAATAAACTTACTGTTTAACTCAATACACCTAATGGTATTATCATAAATTTAGAAAGCCACTAATAACACATATATAACATTTAGGGAAAGTTTACAGTCAACTGGCACATTGCGGAGTCTTAATAAACTTACTGTTTAACTCAATACACCTAATGGTATTATCATTAATTTAGAAAGCCACTAATAACACATATATAAAATTTAGGGAAAGTTAACAGTCAAAGGGAGACGAAATTTTTGAAATAAAAGCTTGAACAAATATCAGTTGAGCACTGACTATCTCACTCACTAAAATATCTTGAGTATTCTCAAAACCTATCTTGAGTATTATCAAAACTCTTACTACCATTGACACATCTATTACGATGGATTTTATATTTTTATTGTGATTATTGTATAGTAACAATTTTATGAAGAATTTATATATATATCAAGATATTGTGTTATTGTGTAAATCAAATTTAGTGAACATGCTATTGATACAGTATATGGAATAATCAAACAAAATCCAATTTTATATGTAAACAGTCAAGTTCAAATTGTTCTTACATAACACGGTTAAACAAGACCATAGTGACCTGGTCAGCTAATTATGATCCCGGGCTTATCACCAAAACAAGGCCGCCAAACCGACCCTTGGTGGCCAGGATCACATGATGCGAAATTCTGCATTTATTGGTCAAGCAGTTAGACAATTGACCATCACTACGGTGACGAGTATTAAAAGGCTCGATCTCTCCCAAACAATCACTTTGGGAATGAAAATCTAAAGATCGCCTTGCTTTTATTTTAAGGTCAGACTGGATAAGTGAAACGGTACCTCTAACTTACGCCACCTGCGAATTTATCATCTCACAGCAAAAACAGAAAGGAAACAAAATATCCTCTTAAATCTAGTCTGATCGATGGTGGAGAAAAACAAAACCAAAAAGGCGAACATTCTTTCAGTTAGTCACTTCTTTCCACTCTACAAGCGTATGGACCAGCGCTCAGTGTTGAGAGACGGAAAGGAGTTAAAGGATGCTGTAGACCGTTCATTCATTGGTCCCGTGACAAGCTCCGGCCGGCAACCTCCAACGGAACAGACCATTGCATTTTTGGACAGGTCCTTCCTAGACCCACATCTAGAGGAGACCGCAGCATTTCCACAACGAGACTCCAGAGATCGACAGGACTCTGCCAACAGTCCCGTTCTGACCCAACCATCCCTGAACCTCAACCCTTTCGTCCAGCACAGTCCCGGAGACGACGACATCTCCGTCAACGAGGACATCGAGGCAGAGCCAGCCGCTTCAACATACCCATACGGTAGGAAAAAATTGTTTGGTATCATGCCAGGGGGTGCCTTGAAATTAGACAAATTCTCAGGTGATGGTACGCAGAGTTATGAAGCCTGGTTAGGTGATTTCCAGGCATGGTGTAATTTTTATGAACTTGTGGAAGCTAAAATGAAGCATGCATTTCCATTTCATCTTGAAAAACATGCTAAAGTATGGTTTGATAATGAACCGGTTCATGAAACATGGGACGGACTTAGGCAAGCTTTTGTAGCCAGGTTTAAGGCAGATACCGAATGTTAGACGGCTCACTTTATGATACGAAACAGGGACAATCTGAAAAAGTCATTGACTATTTGACTAGATTGCATAATGTAATGTCGAACAGAAAAATCTCTAACGAGTTCAAATTGGCAGTAGCGTTAAGTGGCCTTAAGCCAGAAATAAAATCAGTTGTGGCCAATAAGGAACCAAACTCTCTAGACGACTTACGTCATATGTCTATTTTGACAGAAAAGGCAATGGTCGTTACTACAGGCTCAGTTAATATCGCACAGTCAGATATCCCGACAGAACTTATCTTGGCCAGAATAGCCTCCCTAGAGGAGATGGTCGAGAAAAGTTTGTGCGTAGCAGAGCCTCACCAGCAATCCCCAAGGCATTATCCCAGGCCACCTTTTCAAAAACCATATACTCCTTATCATCCTGAACCCAGATCTCGCTATTCGATGCCATTTTCACCCCGTCATCACCACCCACACCTTACCCAAACCCCATTTCAACACAGTTATCGTCACAACATGTTACCCTCACATCGGCCCAACCCCAGTCAAAATTTCCCATGTCAAGGATGTGGCGGGCGATGTACAGATAGGTCTAGATGCCCAGCGCAAGGGAAAATATGTCATTATTGCCGCAACATGAATCATTTCTCGAGTGTGTGCAGAAAATCTCGTAAAAAATGAAAGATATGGCCTGCTGGCGTGTATTTACAATGAGTGTAGTTTATCATTAGCTGACATGAAGTGAGTTGTTTTTGTCACGCACAAATCTATAGCTTTGTACAAATAATTGTTTACCCTGGTTGATTGTCTGACGATGCTAAAGGTCCTAGGATTGTGAAGGACTTACAAGGTATATGAAGTCGTATTTTTATTGTACACGACTCCCTTGTGCATCAGATCGAGTTGACCTTGGGGTCAAGGTCTTACAACCAGGGGGGCATCTATTACGATGGATTTTATATTTTTATTGTGATTATTGTATAGTAACAATTTTATGAAGAATTTATATATATATCAAGATATTGTGTTATTGTGTAAATCAAGTTTAGCGAACATGCTATTAATACAGTATATGGAATTATCAAACAAAATCCAATGTCAATGGTCGTAGGATTCATACAGTTGATAATCCAGGCCTCGGCTTAATTGAAAGATTAAAAAGTACTCATTAGGAAGTACATAATGAAGCCGACTAGTACTTGTAAAGTCAGCCTAACACTAAGGTCATGATGTCCAGAACTGTCGGACTTTGTACTTTGATATATGTATTTATATGTAAACAGTCTCGTTCAACTTGTTCTTACATAACACGGTTAAACAAGACCATAGTGACATGGTCAGCTAATTATGATCCCGGGCTTATCACCAAAACAAGGGTACCAAACCAACCCTTGGTGGCCAGGATCACATGATGCGAAATTCTGCATTTATTGGTCAAGCAGTTAGACAATTGACCATCACTATGGTGCTGAGTATAAAAAGGCTCGATCTCTCCCGAACAATCACTTTGGGAATGAAAATCTAAAGATCGCCTTGCTTTTATTTTAAGGTAAGAACTTAAGGTTATATTGTATAATAAACCTCTGAATTGTAAATGTAAAAGCGATAATATAGAAAAAGAATGTTTTATGTTGTATAAGGAATAATTATGAGTAAAAGTAAATTATTATATATTTATAAGAAAATGGTTAACAGTAAATTATGAAGTGCAAGATAGAATTGATAATTTGTATTGTATATTGTATATAGTAAGTATTTAGTTTGTTTGTTAGTAAAATATTTAATTATGTAAATAAACTTTGGGAATGAAAATCTAAAGATCGCCTTGCTCTTATTTTAAGGTCAGACTGGATAAGTGAAACGCTACCTCTAACTTACGCCACTTGCGAGTTTATCATAACACGGCAAAAACAGAAAGGAAACAAAATATCCTCATAAATCTAGTCTGATACATGTATCATTTAAAAATACTTTTAACATGCATTGTTTTTTAGTCACAAACTGAGCATTAGCTTAAATATAAACATCAAACCTAAACTTCAATCTGTTTGAAACAATTCTAACTACATAACAAATATTGACACATGATGTAAAAGTTTTATTGAGTTTTTAAAAAAAAAAAAAAAATTAATTTTAATATATGAAATAGAATTTCCACATTAAAAAGTCATCAATTTAGAAAGCCACTAATAACACATTTATAAAATGTTGGGAAAGTTTACAGTCAAAAGGAGATGAAATTCTTGAAATAAAAAACTATCATTGACACATTTATCATTTAAAATTGTTTTTAGTCATAACCTGAGCATTAGCTTAAATATATACATCAAACTTAAACATCAATCTATTTAAAACAATTCTAACTACATAACAAATATTGACACATGATGTAAAAGTTTTATTGAGTTTTATAAAAATTACATTAACTGAAATACCGCCGCAGTGCTTCTCAGAAAGAAAAACAAAACAAATCAAAGATATTTTTATATATTTTTATCATATACTTATACATGTACAATTATACAATCTGTCTGTACCATTTTATAATCTGAACACATATATATATCTATATAACACTCATTTCATTAGATTTTAGGCCACGATGCTGTTAAACTGTTCTATCATCTACACACAATGAGCTATTTTGTAATTTCAAATACCAATTATTTTATAAATTACAACGAAGCTTTCATCATCATGTAATATATCAAATGATTTTTATCATGAAGTAACTAAATGAATACATTGAAATCGGTAATGAACTATGACAAAGTGTAAATTTAAATGACATAAATCATTCATATCACATTTACAATAATGAAATAACGAAATAATTATGTACAATTCACAAAGATACATGAACTTTATTTATAAGTGAAAATAAAGACTCTGTTTGTGCATTGGGTTAAGCTCTCTCCACAGTGCTTTGCTTGTGGGCGATAACTCCCGTCTGAGACGGTTTTACGCTCGGGAGCCAAAGGATAGTGCTCATTAGATCGTGATCGCTTTCGCTCACCTCCAAATCGACCTCAAGGATGTACCCCCAAGTCACCCTCTTTGGGTATTGACAGTTCGTCGAACTTATCGGCGTTTTCTATCCAACGGAAATCCCCTATTGGAAGTGGCTCTGATATGGCTTTACCATATAAATTGTTACAATCCGTATACATGATATAAGGATCAGGATGGGGGGGATCGTAAGATTCGGGAATGTAGGAATTGTTGGCTTTTGCATACTTGTTAGAAACCATAGAAATACCCTCTTTTACTCCGTTCTCAAAGAAAAGATACATGTCTGGTTCTGTGACTAATTCCAAGTGAACGCCTGTCATTTTCAAAGCTGCCTGCCATGCCAGACCGGGAGCGGTGTAAAAGTGGGCGGCGTCTAATCCGTAATAATTTAGACACATGGTTCGGAAATTTTCAAACACGTCGGCGAAGTCCGTTTTGAGAGACAGGTCGTGATTCAGGTTGTTCGTCATCCTTTGTTTGTTTCTTGTTTGATAATTAATCTTTCCTTTGTATTTTGTTTGGTGATACATCTAGGCTGTCTAGTTTTCGTTTTAACACCGTAAGCTGTGGTTGAGTTTCTCTCTGCTCTCCGACGACTTCAGTCACATACCTGGATTTATATATTGCGCCTTTTTTTGTGAGCGCATGCTCAGTCAGCTAGATTTTAAAGGACAACCACTTACGCTTTGGTTTAGTGTTCTGCATGAATTGTTTTGGTGTCTCTCTGATATATAACCGGCCACCCTTTTGACCTTTGTTTTGGCGTGCACTACGCCTGATCTTAGCGTTGACCTTTTCTTGACAGCTAGGCTTTTCAGCGATGACCTTTTCATGACCATCAGGCTTTTCAGTGATGTCCTTTGTTTGGTCGTTTTTTCCAATGACCTTTGTCTGCTCGTTGACTGTTTCAGTGGTGGTATGTCCTCATTGTTGTCAGTTTTATAAATCTTTTCCGTCATCTGCTTCAGACAAAAGGTGTTCGTATTCCGCCTTCGGTATTAAAATAATTCTCTTGCTAAGTAGTTTATAAAAAATATGGATAATATGTTGTATATAATTTCTGTCAGAAACTTGAGTTGTAGATCGGTTAACGTTAACAAAACCACTTTCTTTTGCTTGTCTGAGGCCATCAGCCAAAATTCGATCAAACATTTCATATTTTAGGAGATTACGCGGTATTCTCTCCCGGCAAGATTCTATTTCGAAGTGGAGGTAATGGAGATGAAATGCTGGTCATATTTACGTCAGAAGGTGAAACGTCAATTAACAGGTAACCAAATCTTGAAAAACGTTTTGTACTATACAATTGACTGAAATTCTGATGGTGAGATTTACACAAAACATTTTCATTGAATGTGGACTGTCTACACCTTCTGTCATACAATCGTCGATCACTAGTAACTTGTGACCGTCGATTTTTCCCCCTTTCCTCAAAATGATCCTCGTTTGGTTGTCCTTGATGAAATGTTTTTTCCTTAAGATTGCTGCGTAACTGATCAAACATAGGCTGTCAGGTGTCGTAACAGAGAATGATCTTGATGGGTGCTTCGCTAAACATACCATCGACATGTTCTAATATATGTTTAGTTAAAAATGTCTTACCACTTCCGCTTGCCCCGCATATCATGATTCTGCACGGTGACTGGAACTTGACTAGACTCTATTTGACATACCATTCTCTCGTTCGAATAAAAAATGAATACTAGCAGACAAAACTTGGCTATTTGAAGTATTTATTTACATTTTTAATGGCAGCACAACAACTCTGATTATTAGCACAATAATTAACATGACATGGGAATGCATTTGATATGAAATCATAAACAAAATGGTCGTTTTCTATATAGTTATTCCCAAACTGATTAACGATAGAGTTCATAGATATACCTCTGCATCTATTCAAGAGATAATACAAACAATATTAACCGCAAACATTTGAAACATTACTCTGTAATCGCTTATTATTGTATGCATTTGCCTTGAATGAATAGTATTCTGGTGAGTGGCCATAGCTTTCGAAAAAATCTTTTTTGTAGCCGATTTCCAGGACGATCACTCGAGTCCGTTTTTACAATAAAGCCACAGGGGAAACCATTTGACTTGTGAGGTATTTGATCTCGAGCAAACACTCCACTGACTACTTTTCTCATTACAGAATCTGAATTTATTACATCGAGAAGCTGACGAGTGTTCATGGTGATACCATGTCCCTTGCAGCGTTGATTTCAAAATAGCCGGGGTACTCACAGTAGATGAAACAAGACACCGCTTCCGCCAACGCAGTCCCAAATGTTACCTCCAGTCTCACGTTTCCTTGTTTGAGTAAGCTAAGATACTGACTCGTTCTGAATGTTGGTTCTAGGTTAAATGTGTAAAGGGAATAGCCCAGTCCGATATCGTCTCTCTCTAAATTCAACACGCTATCACTCAATCATTTGCCGGTGCATTGTGGCATACTCCTCAGTACTGGGATGACAGTCTGCCCTCCATTATCGCTGTACTTTAACTTCAGGGGATTACCACCAACGGGTATACCATCTACGTACAGTCCGATGGATGAAATGTCGTAAGATTGAAAAAAACAGGGGTTTTGTTCATAGTTACCCGATACACCTGTAGCATTTACAAATCCAACTACGACTACATTCGGTCTCAAACCCTGAAATATATTATCGCAGGTGAAATTGTAGAACCTGTTGGAATGGTCATCTGTTTAATGAGAGTCTGAGTAAATGGGTATTTGGCATTAGTCCGTTCGAGAGCTTGACTTTGATAATATATGACGGCGGGATTAACTTTGACTTCACTCACGCGCAGTCGAATGTCTTCAAACACAACCTTATAATCTGCCGTGACATCACCCGACATTAGACAAAATTCAGGTTTCGATCTGTGCAGTTTGACGTTGACGTTAACTTGGTTTAACAGATACATATCCATCTTGAACAAATCGTGGTAGAGTGGTCCTACCTTGCCCACCACCTTTAACCCCTTCGAAGCGTTTTGCTCTGTCGAGAAGTGCATTATTAGAACCCGTTCTGGGACTATCTGCGTCCATGCTACCTTCATCGTCTTGCTTCCACAGCTGAGTAGACAATTGCGACGTTTCGGCGTCCTTACCATACTTCATTAACACATGGAGGTAGGCTTTGTAGGCATAATAGTTTGTTGTCGATACGACGGTCTTCCCCTGTTAAGTAACGTCCACTTGTGAAAACAAAGTAGGTTAAAATAAATTTACGGGTCCTGCATCTTCCGTATCGCTTATTGCAGTTCCATCTGCTTTAACAATTTTAACTTTTGCATAGACGAGACTGTTTTTCAAATCTAACAATTCTAATCCGTTTTGACCGGAAACTACGAATTCGACGGGTGAGTCGCTGTTTTTTTTGGGAAATGGGTAACACGTCTTGATAATATACATTTTCCACAGCCGTTTGTGTTGGAGGGAGATCGAACAGAGCCAATTCCGATGGTTGTGCTTCTCTAAACAAATATGAGGCTTTGCTCGTCTTTTTTGCCTTTGTAGATATTTTGGTATGACGTTTCTTAGGCGACTTCTTAGTAGACTTTTTTGTTGACTTTTTAAAATTGTTCCTGCTCTGCTTCGTTGTTATAGTCGATTTACGTATTTTCATCTGCTTTCTGGAGGTGTGAACACGACGACGCTTTGCTGACAAATGACGACTGGACGAACGCCTATGTCTTTTAAGTTCAGATTTGACCTGTTCGACGACTTGCTGCGCTGGCGACACCATGCTAATATCGATGTCTCGGGTTGGTAAAGA